TGCTCGGATCCTCACCAAGCACTGCCGCAATTTCTATCTTGCATCCAAACCCAAATCTTGCACTTTTTTAGCCCAAATGGTGAAGGTTAAGAGAAAGCCAGTTGGTACCCACAGGTCAGCTTTAGTCTTATGACAAGAATGACTAAGACGGAGATGAGGGATTATATCATCTGTTCCCATACGTTTAGGCTGTTTAAATAGCCAAAAATTATCAGAAACAAAATACAGTTCAACTTTGGTTGCTGCCTTAACTCCTTGCACTTCTGCCCATACGGTATTGAGTAAAATCATCATATGGAGCAGCTTTGCATCACTCTTTAGAGCTTTGCAGAACACAGTGTACTTAGTAGACCTCAACACCGCATCCTATAGTCAATCCCACTCCTCAGATACTCTCAGCAAGCACAGCAGCATATCACGAGGTCTAACTAGAATGATAAAAGGATGAAAGGAAGGAATAATTAAGGAGATAATTAATGGTTAGGTCCATCACTGGTATTTCTGTGATTGTTTTCGGTTGTTTAAGTGGCACATAATCAAGGCTGCAAAATTTAGGAACTGAAAAGCCAGTCATTTAAAGCATCATTTAGCAAGCCAGATAAGCACATTAACTGTGTGTAGCCACTTCTTTAAAATAAAACTATGGTGAATGCTTTTTAGTGGTAAGTTTATAGAATTTGATATTGTACGTTTACTATTATTTTGGTTGAAATTGCTGTTAATTTTTAATTACCCTTGAATCATGCAGTGGCAGAAGGATACTTTCTAAATTAGTTGAAAATAACATAGTATGTAAAGACCTGATGTTGGCATCCATTACTGATAACTGTAAAAACATAACTTTATAGAAGGAAAAGATGAATAGAAGTTAAATATAAAATTGGCTGCTCTCTCCTTACGTAAATTTTCCTCTTTGGCAGATTCTAGAGAAAGCTACCCTGGGTACTTTGTTGAATGCTTCTTGTCCTTGGGGGAATAAAAGACTGACTTAGCTAAGCTCAGGGAATTGTTTTCTGTCAGCAAATAACAGTATCAGGCATAAGAGATTGTTCACTATTGGCATCTTCAAACCCTGTTGGTTCTACCTTCAGAGTATATTCAGAATCCAAGCACTTTCCATCACCTGGATTGTCATAATATCCTCCTAACTCTTCCCACTACCTCCTCCACTGGCTTCTCTCCACCTTATTCTCCAAATAGCAGCCGTCAGATCATGTCACACCGCAGCCCAAATACCTCCAAAAGCTTCTCCTAGCACTTGGAGAGAAAGCCATATCCTACAAAGACCTGCCACCCTCCCCATACCTCACCCTCTACTCTTCCCCTTCCCTCAATTCATTCCTTCAGTCATGCTGGCTTCTTGGATATTCCTAGACACACCAGGCACAGCCATTTCTCTGACCTTTCCACGACCTGTTGTTCTAGGTAGCCCAGAGCCTACTCCCTTGCCTTTTTCATTTCTTTGCCCATATGCTGATTTCCCACCTTCTCTGACGGTCCTTTAAAAAATTGCACATACATACCAGTACTCCTCATTGCCATTCCTATATCTTTCTCTACAGTACTTATCACCTTCTAAAATACCATAAAATGTGTGTATTCATTGTCTTTTTCCTCAAGGTAAACACCCTGAGGTCAGGCTTATCATTATTATTGTTTATGCACTTATGTCTCCTCAACACATAGAACACTGCCTGGTACATGGTAAGTAATAATTACTTGTTGAGTGAATGAATCTGTGGTCAAAACATTAGCCAGCTCTTCCCATGTGTGTGGCCTACTAACTACTAAGATATGGCATAGTTATTGGGAAACTGGGAAAGGTCTTGCCTGGTGCCTTATATTTAAACATATATATATATATAAAAAATATATATATATATATAATCATATATATATATTTCACTTATTTACTTAGACAGAGTGCAGGGAGGGGCAGAGGGAGAAGGAGAGAGAAAATCTCAAGGAGATTCCGCGCCGAGCACGGAGCCCAAGGCGGGGCTCCATCTCGCAACCCTGAGATCATGACGTGAGTTGAAATCAAGAGTCGACCCTTAACCGACTGAGTCCCCAGACGCCCCACATTTAAATATATTTAATTAAAGCTGTGTTAAATAGTAATTTGGTCTAAGGTAAAAGTTTCTCTCTTTTTTTTAAATGTAAGCACCATTACATTTGGTACAGTGTTTAATATGGTCTCTTAAAAATTACCTTGCTTACCCATTTCAAGTTAAAAGCATGTACATATAAGAGAATATTTTTGCCAATGATGGAATGCCCCTGGAATTTAATCTAGCAAAATGACTGAGAGGTGGCTTCAGAAGGTGCTTACACTGTTTTTGGTGGGTGTAGCATTGTCTCTAGGGCTTCAATGTCTTCATTTCAAGAGAAGAGAGTGAGTGAGAGAATAAGTAATGTGGTGGTCAACGGCAGATAACCGGTTTTCCCTAGGAATGGTCTTGCAAACTAATCAACTACATGGTAAGAAAATATGGATACCCACGGCCTCATGGGCATAGGTTTTGATAAATGGATTAGTTTCTTACCAAGATATGAGAAGTGTTAATCATTAAGAACAGATTTTGTTTCTTTAAGACTCCAGATCTTTTGTCAGCAAATACAGGTAGAGTAACAAAGAAAGTGGTGATTTAAGAGACTTTCCATGTAGTTGAAAGTCTCTTACACAATTGAATGTAATTCCTATAGAAAAGAAATCAAGTAAAGATTTGCATTCTCTGCTGGTAGAAGTTTAAAGTAAAAATTTTTTCAGGGCACCTCATGGCTCAGTCGGTTAAGTGTCCCGACTCTTGATCTCAGCTCAGGTCTTGATTTCACAGTCATGAGTTCGAGCCCTGTGTTGGGCTCCACACTGGGCAATAAAAATAAAATAAAGTAAAATGTTTTCCCAATAGATACTGGTCTCTGGAGTTTGTTCTTGTGTTTTGCTATTGAAGAAGTGGGGCAGTTTTGACTGAATCTGTTACACATTGCTGATCATTTGAGGGCAAGTAAAACCAAGTCAGTTGAAATATAATAGTAATTGAAGTAAAGCAAGTGAAAATGAGGAAACAGAAATGCCCAAAAGTGCTATTTTTATATAGTTTTTTTAACTAAATTAAGATTTACATGAATGTACACATATATGAGAAAAATTACAAGGAGGTCCCAGGAAGAGTGTGAACGTTCCACTTGTCTTTTAGGTGAAAGTTCCAACGCTAATCAATCTAATGGTTCTGTCTCAAGTGATGGCAGAATAGTGGTGCTTCTGACATGGAATTCTATTAAATATGGCTTTAATTTTCTCTCTGATCATTACAGGTAGATTTTTTTTTTAATCTCTCCAACCCTTTTATAAATTATTTGAGGTGGTAGTATGTGTCTATTACCCAGTACAAAGCTAGGTGAAAAGACTTTGTATGGTCCTTTAGAATAAGTAAGGCTTTTGAAATTGTTTGAATCCACTTTTTATGCTTGTACCTGAATTCTGTGGAAGAAAATAAAATTGTTGATGTGGCAAATAAAACCTTTTGCACTGTGTTTTAATGAACAAAATGTTCTTTTTTGAATTCTGTCTTCCATGGTGTGTATGTGTGTATGATTAAAAAAAAAAAAGGATAATACAGATCCAAAGGCAGAAATAAAAATGTCAACAGACCTCAAAGACTTTCGATTCTCTGTTCATTATTCAAAATTGTTCCCAAGACCAAAAATTTGAAAAGACTACCATACTGCTAAATTATGCAGTCCTGGGGTATATGAGGCCGCTGAACTAACACACATACATTTACTCTTTTTTTTTATTATATAACTAATAAATTAAATTAAAGGTGAGTCAAAGTTTGTACGGCTCATTTTAAGAATTACAATATGGAAAGTAAATACACTGCTGTGTGGGAATACATGACTTATCTGTCACTGATAGCTAATGAATTCCTTCCTATTAAAATTTAATTGAAAATCTTCAATGATATTTAAGCTTTCACAGAAGTGTAAACTACTGTGACTACAATTCACAATGCATTTAAAACAATTATTCTTTATCATTAAAGTTAATAATATGCACATTAACCTCTTATGTAGTCTAAATCAATATTGTAGTTTAAAAGATATGACCTCTGGACAGCTTTGTCTAAATATTGATTTCATTGTCATTTGTATAAGGTATCAAACAAATTACACGCTGCACTAATATCATTAATGCTGCCCCCATAGAGCCTCTGACTTTATGGGGTTCTTATAATACAGGACATGACATTACAAAATATTGAGGATATCACAAAATATAATTGCCGAATGAACAAGATTTGATTATGGCAGAACAGGCTCGCTGTCAACAGATGATAACTTCCAAATTCTTTACTCTCAGTGGACAGGAAAAAATACTGCTCTTTAACATGCAGATTGGTTGCTGAGGTTAAGTTTCAAATGGCAAAATTTTTTCTGCCTCTGAGGGTCTAATTTACCTTCTTGTGATGCCAGAGACATTTCAGGAGGGAATCTAAAGTCACATTACAATGGTGTCATTCTGTAATATAGCAGTTTTCCCAACATAAATTTGTTTAGTTTTGTTTAGAAATTTCTATTAAAAGTTACTAATGAGTCGGAGGAGTTGGAAAATATATGCGTAAAAGTGAAGGGGTTGAGCCTTTCAAATGATCTTTATAGAACTAAGTAAAAACTGAGGGATGTACATGCATCACAGTTTCTCTCATAATAATTATTACTATTTTTTGTAAAAAAAAATAAGTACAAATCGAAATACCAGCTGTATAATTTCCTCTCTTTTACTTTTTTTCAGATTCTAATTTGCTAGGAATCACAACAATTGTTAACACTCTCCAGTTACATCTAACTCTAGTTTGATGTTTAAATTTTTTAAACTGTATGTTACTTTTTGTTTTTCATAAAACTTTTCAGAAAAGCGATGTGGCTGTGATCATGACACTGTGAACTGTGGATGTTATTTATACTAAAAATGTTTCCCCCCAAATCTCTTGTAGGTAAAAGTGACCCGTTTTGTGTAGTTGAACTGAACAATGATAGGCTGCTGACACATACCGTCTACAAAAATCTTAATCCTGAGTGGAACAAAATCTTCACATTGTAAGTAATCATTACCTTGAGCTCATTTCAAAAATGGAGCTAATAATATTTATTTTTGAGATATTTGTGTGTGTGTTTATTCTTAACTGATGAGCAGCTCTGCATCTGGACTGCTGCTGCTAGCAACAGCGAATATCATAATTGTAATACCTTTCTGACAGAGAGACCTGGGGAAAGAATATGCCATTTTTCTTTGTTTTCACAGATTCTTTTTTAAAACTGTGATTTTTATATGGTTTGACTAAGGATTTTGCTTCCATTAACTGAATGACCATACTGCTTCTTCCTTTTATACTTTCTATTGAAATTCTCCCCAACTGCATTGACATCAGGGAGGACAAAGCTCTATTTGTTCCATTGGTCAAATCAGCAAACAATCCAGTCTTGAATTCAGAGATGCTTTAGTTTTGCTTTGTTGCCTTTTAGTACAATAAGGATATTAAGTATTGTCCCAGTTACCAGAACACCATTTGGGTTAATTTTCCTTTTGTTTTAAAAAAAAGTTTATAAATCTTTTGACCACACACTATAAAAGCTGCTGATCTACACCATGGTATCTCCTAAGTCCAGGGTGTGTGTGTGTGTGTGTGTGTGTGTGTGTGTGTTTAAACTGGGCTTTAGAAATGAACTCTGAACAAAGGAAAACTCTCCAAACAGAGTACTTCTTAAAAGTTTTCTAACATAGTTTAATTTTTTTGTATATGAAAACTGCTAAATTCCTCATTAATTTCTTATAATGTCTCTGCTTAAGAGCGAGTAACTAATCAGATTTAGTTATCTGACCAATTTATCTTTAAGGAATTCCACATTTTTATAAGAGATGAAAGCCTGGTCAGGAGACTTGCACTCCTAAGATTGTTGAGAGTGTTTTTCTCTGGAATGCATAATTGAATGAATAGGTTTGATTATTATCAAAGCCATTAATTGATTGTGCCCCGATAAAGCCTCTTCTCACATGTGGTTGCAGTCTTTCAGTAATGAATGTATTCATTTTTTTTGTTTTCTCTTAATTCATGTTTTCTTGGTAAACAGTTTGATCAAAGAATAAATGCTGTCAGCAATTGGGGTTTATTTTTCCAGAAACAAAAATGAAGAGCTCGCACAGTTGTTTATTAACATACGTTGTCTTTGGAACATAATGGGACACTAAATCCTGGGGTGGTACAATAGCTATCAATGTTACATTTTCTCCATTCTGTTTTCTGTGTTGGTTAATTTTTACTATAAACCTACCAGAAATAAGTCAATATTTTGGTAGGAACTGTAAACAAAGGAGATGTCCTACTATTACAAAAAAAAAGAAAAATTGTATGAGATATACTGTGACTCTTGCTGATATCAAATTTAATGGAGTTTTACATGGGGTTAATAGGAAGCTAGGAATTATTGTGATAATAATGAGAGGGAAAAGTCTCAAAAACATCAGTGCCACTTACTGATTTTTTTATGCTAATTCTGTGCCCATCCAGATGGAAAATTATATTTCATTAAAAATTATAACTTGAAATTACAATAGTGTTCAAAGTTCCAGATAATAGAACCAACACTGTAATCTATGAAGGTGCATTATGGGAAATTCTGTCAGATACCAAGCTACCTTGTATATGTGTATATGCAAATAGCATACATAAAAACACATACACACAAAATCAGCTGGAGCCATCTAAATTTTCAAAAGCATTTTTGTTCTTGTTCCCCACTGATGAAGTCTTTTCTTCTTACGTATATTTATTATGCAGCAACATTAAAGATATCCATTCAGTTCTTGAAGTGACAGTTTATGATGAAGATCGGGATCGAAGTGCTGACTTTCTGGGCAAAGTTGCTATACCATTGCTGTCTGTAAGTTTTATTCACCTGACACTGCTCTGTGTTGCTTTTGCTCAAGGAAAAAAAAAAAAACCCTCAGCTCTGTATCTGTCATTTCTCAACCAAGGTCTGTAATAAGAACACTAAAAATTTTAACATACTCAATTCACGGCCATGTTGAATCCCATGATAGTTAATTTTTCCTGACAGACTTGATCCTGGTAATGAACAGGTACTTGTCAGAATTGCCACAGTTGTTTTGGGTTCTCTGTCAGTTTCAGCAGCTGGGGGTCAAAGGTCACTGAGGGAGTGTATTCAGCGGAGACCGCGAGACAGACGGCTGTCATGTCCTTTTCCCGCAGATTCAAAATGGTGAACAGAAAGCCTACGTCTTGAAAAACAAGCAGCTGACAGGGCCAACAAAGGGGGTCATCTATCTTGAAATAGATGTGATTTTTAATGCTGTAAGTCTTAACTTTGGCTTTTTTGTACTGCTAAAGAGTTCAGTTTCATGAAAGCTTTTGTTCCTGATTTGTAGAGAATTTCTGTCATTCCTCGTTTTCTCTGAACCTTGATGTATCCTGGGGAATGCGCTTCCGCCACTGACTGGCACACCCACGCTTTCTGTTACAGTTGGCGGCTGCCACGGCCTCGGTACTGCGGCCGCTGCCTGCCGGCATAAGCGGTGCAAACGCGTGCATGTGCAACTGTATACATTTGTATTTTATGAGCGCAGCAGCCAGGACTCTGAAACTTTAGGAATTATTGCAAATTGAACTGCGTGAAAAACTTGTAAACGTTGGTAATATATGAATCCATAACAGACACATATGTTGATGTATAGGTGAAAGCCAGCTTACGAACATTAATACCCAAAGAACAGAAGTACATTGAAGAGGAAAACAGACTCTCTAAACAGGTAAAAAGCAAGGAAAGATGAATCCCTCTGGGAAGACCTGATTATATCTGTAAAACATCTAGGTAAATTCAAATAAACTTTGGAAGTGTGGAGGGGGGGAAGACTAGGGAATTTTTGATCATCTACTTATGTGAAATGGCTTTCTTTCTTTCTTTCTTTCTTTCTTTCTTTCTTTCTTTCTTTCTT